ATCTGCAGATTAATTTGTAGAGACATAAAGGGTATCCATATACCAACTGATTTCCAGTTAATTTGTAGAGACACTTGATGTCTGTTTGAATATATAACATATCAATAAAGATCACGCATCTTGTGTATGTTCCACTATAAAAAAATATATATATATATATATTTTTAAACATCTTCAAAAAACTCTCTCCTGATTATATCTGTTTTGTTAAAAATTTTTCTTTTATAGTAATTTTAAGCAATAAAAAATGTTTTATACTCTTTATCGCAAGTGAGCCCTAGCTTAAAAACTCAAGAACCTTCAAGACAATTGATATAGTGGGATGGGACCTCTGGTTGAAGTCTATTCAAGTTTGAGAGTCTTGCTTATCCTTTGGTTGCATAAGGAAAGGCTTGTAGCAGTTCTTTTTTCTTCAATTCTCTTGCATTCCTCCTTACCCTTATTATATCATAAAAACCATTTATATTATTGCCATCATACTCACTAAAAAACACACTTTCCAAAATACACACTCAAACAAAGTTAGTGGATCTACTGTTTGTTTCAAGTCAACTCTCACACACAATATTCTCACAGTAATATTTGCTACATCATTTCAAAAATACAAAAATTTTTCAAACAAAAAACCAAAATCAGTTTATTCCCTTCAAATGATTAGCACTCTCCAGTCATCCAATCAGATTTCATGAAAAAATCAAAACAAAAACCATGTTAGTTCAAAACGGTTTTGTGTCACAATAACAACTTTAATAACAAACAACATCACATGTACTCTACTATCTATGGTAACTAAAGAGCTGGAGAGATAAGACAACGAGCCTGTCTGGGGTTCTTTCAGGGAAATAATTGGTTTTCTACTTATAGATTTTATAGTTTATTTGATATAGTTTTAATTACAGTTATATTTTTTTTCTTTTCTACTATTATATATCCAAAAAATCAAAAGAATTCACAAAATTTCCTGAGTTGGTAGGCATAGCTGCTACTCAGCTTTATCTAACACTATAATATTGCTTTTGAATTGTTTTACAATATTAGTTAGATATCGATTAAGTAGGCAAGCTAGCATTTAACTTTCCTGAAATAATGAAAGAGATGTTGTTTCTTTTACAATGTATACTATATTATATATAAATATTAATTAAAGAAATGATGTTTACCTACGGGGAAACCCCCAAAAAAATATATATATATTTAAACATATAATATATATTTATTATTATATAAATAAATAAATAAATGGTATTTATGATGTGTGGATCATCTACTTGATATTTAAAATTCGTATAGCTGAGTATATTGTAATTGGTTTAGAGAAAACCGGGGTTACTGGAAATAGTGATTATCAGGTAGTATTAATTTGCATTTAGGATAGTAATAGCCTACTTTGTAAAGATGTTTGATATAATGATTACAAAACAAATGTTTAATAAATGTCTCGTATCTAATGCCCTTAGTCAATTAAAAAAAAATAAAAAAAAATAAAAAAATAGTATTTACCTACAAAAATATATATATATATATTTTTTTAAACAATATTGTATTTTTTAAATTAAATATAATTTTTTAATTATTTATTATATAAATAAAAATTTATTTTAAAAAAACTACAAAATAAAAATAATCAAAAATATTTTAATATATATTATAAATTTAAAATTAAAAAAATTAACATTAAATTTTTGTTTTTTTTTTTGCAATTTAAATTACATAATTAAAACTCAAATAAATTAAAAAAAAAATGATATAAAAATTTTTTTCAATTATAAATTTTTACATATCTTTTTTTCGTTTTAAGACCTGTGTAAGTATTTTTTTATTTTTTATTTTTTATTTTTTTATAATAATTTTAAGCAAGAAAAAATAATTTATATTCTTTATCACAAATAAGTTTCTGTTTAAAAACTTAAGAATTTTTAAAATAATTGATATAATAGGATAAAATCTTTAGTTAAAGTTTATTCAAATTTAAAAGTCTTGCATATTCTTTGGTTATATGAGGAAAAACTTATAATGGTTTTCTTTTTTTTTATTCTCTTGCATATATTTTTACTTTTATTATATTATAAAAATTATTTATATTAATATTATTATATTTGTTAAACAAAATACTTTTCAAAAAATATATTCAAATAAAATTATTGAATCTAATATTTGTTTTAAGTCAATCTTTATATATAATATTACCATGGCAATATTTGTTATATTATTTCAAAATTTTTAAAAAATCAAAATTAATTTACTATTTTCAAATAATTGTCATTTTTCAACTATTTAATTAGATTTTATTAAAATAACAAAGCAAAAATCAAATCTTTTTAAATCAGTTTTTCAGTACAACAATAATATCAATAACAATAATTCCAAATAATATCAACTATACTATAATTTTTTTGTTATCAAAATATGTGCCAACAATTAAGAAGCTTAGTAAATTTCAGTTTCTATAGCCAAGCAAAAGGTTATTTTGAAAATATAATCTTTTACTATCAAAAACTATATTATTTACTTGATTTAGTTTTATTTTTGGTTATTTTATTATTGTATATATTTTCATTTACTGTTTTTTCTTTTATATTTTATTTTTAAAATTTAAAAAATTTCACAAAATTTGTTAAATAGAAAAGCATAACTGCTATTCTTTTATCTAATACTTTAATATTGCTTTTGAATTTTTTTTCAATAATCGTTAGATATTATAAAGTAAACAAGCTAACATTTAACTTTCTATATTTTGTAAATAAGAGATATTGTTTCTTTTACAATATACTGTATATCTTAATATATACAAATCAAATAAAGAAATAATATTTATCTACTAAGGAAAACCCTTACAAAAAAAATAAATAATTGATAAATTATATTAAAAAAAAACAAATTATTTTTAACAAAATAATAATTTTAAATACATATATAAGTTATATTGTTAAAAATTTTTTTAAAATAAATATATTACAAGTTATCAATTGATTATATAATAGTTCTGAAATTAAATTTATTAAAAAAAACATAAATAAATAAAAAAATATCTTATAAAGTATTATAATTAGTTAGATAAATTCAATAAAAAAATGGTATAAACTTATTATTTTAAATAAAAACAAATTTATTGCCTATTGATTTTTTTTAATAAAATACTGCTTTTTAAGTCTTTTAATAATATATTAAACATGTGATTTGTGTAACATTTTGAAGTAATAGGCGCTTGTTTTTTTAATTGATTAGTTGTTTTATATATAAACAACTAGTTGTACCTAAAAATTCTAAATTTTGATTAATTAATTTTAAACTAATGATTTTAAACACTAAATTCAGTAATAATAACTCGTGGAATGTATTTGTAATTTAATTTCGATTTAAGTTGATTTTAGGAATTAGAAATAGACGTTACACATCCAAGACTTAGAAATTTCGACTTGCATAAATTCGCTATAAAATTGGAGTACCAGTGGATTAAGAGTTGTAGTAAATATAATAAAAGTTCCTAATTTTCGCAACAGAGAATTAATTTTTAATAAATTTAGATAAATTTGCAATAACACACAAAAAAGCTTTCATATAAATTTAGAATCATATGTAGTCGCCATAAAATCGTTAAATCGTAATTTGTTATGACATGAAACCAGAAAACATTGTTTACTATTAATCTCATTTATTACAGAAATTAATTTATTGGGTTAATGAAATTTTAACTGAAGAAAAACATAACTATTATAGTAAATACTTAAAATCAAATAACTCCAGGAATAAAAATATATGGAACTTTTTTACAGTATTCTTCCCAATCTTTTCCATATTTTTTTGCGCATCTCTCCATATCTCTACTTACTCTGTGTACAAGCACTACAACAAAAAATAGTGGATAAAAATATGGGATTGGTGAATTAAAACCTGTAATAAATCCCCATGAAAATGCCATCATTAAATCTGCAGTATAATGAATTTTCCGTGCAATACCCCACCATCCTCCTGTTAATATCAAATTACCATGACTTGTTTTAATATATGATGGATTTTTTAATACGCCCCATGGCAATTGTGGAAAAGTATATCTTTTAATGTGAACACCATTATTGGCCATTCTGAATTTGTTTTTTTGCGAGTTAGCAGTATCCCTAATGAATATAAGTAAAAAGAGATACATGCAACAAATTTCTATAAATATGTATTGCAAAGGTTTGTAATCTTTGTTCATAAAAGAAACTTACCAAATATAATATCCGAATAGTAATAGGCCATAACAGAGGTAGGTCCAATATTTTAAATGTTGTATGGGCCCTCCATGTTCAATGCTATAGTTATGAAGGAAGATTGTCGCGTAGCTATAGGTGAAAGGCACTTTAAATGTAGGATAACGGTTAGCAATATTCACGAGAAATAGAGAACGTTTATTTTAGAAAATAAAAAGTACCTCCGGCAAAATTCCAAAAAATCAGCATAAAACCGAACTATATGTTGTGCAAAGAAAGACTAATTAAAAATAAGTTAAATCAAAAAAATAACGGAGTGCGACTCTACGCATAATACCTTTTCATAAAACATATCCCAAGTGGTTGGAATACATTCTTCACCTTTGGCGCACGCGTTCACATATAAAAAATGAGCAAGGACCATAAAAGCCATTGCCGGAGATGTATATCCAAATAATTCATATTCTTTGATTGCAGCCGAAACAGAAATGTAAAACAAGATAACCTTTAACAGACAAATTTTATCAGACTGTTAATAACAAACTTTTGACAACATACAAAATATGTATTATTAAAGTAATAAGTTACCCAAGGAATGCGAATTTCTGCAAAAATTTTTAAATCAACTCTTCCAATACGTGGGTTTAACGCTGCACCCATAAAGAGGTCATACATCAAATAACCAGACATACGATGTTGTTTTCCTTGCATCACAGTAATAGCGTATACCAGCACGGTAATAGTAAAACCAGAAATAATGGCAATGGTCATTATTGGACCAAAGTTGTCAATTATGTCTGTAAGTCGAAACCATCCATAATAATGTAATGCAAAAGAGGTTGCGATTGTTGCGTACAAAGAGAAAAAGCCATTACATAAATAATCCAATTGCTTCCCCTCCAAAGAAGGAACGGGCAAACCTTTAACAATTGGCCCAGGAGCAATATATGCTAAGAATAATTCAAAGAGACAAAACAATACATAAACTTTGGTTGTATACCAAGTGGGGGAAATACCCTCTCCTATCTGTTTCCAAAGTTCAAAATTGAGAGGAGATACTAGTTGTCCACTGTGGAATTGAAGGCAACCCCACATGTAGAACATGAGAGTAGGAAACCCAAACATCATAGCAGTTACTCCCCATGGTCCACCAAACTCAAAAATGATCTCTGAGTCTAAGTCTTTATCATATTTACTGTTAGTTTTCCTGTCAACATGATTTTCTAAATCTTTTGTCCCGTTTTTCATTCTATTTCTACCTTGAGTAATGAACGATTTACCGAAGTAAAACGCGTTTTTTAATTTATCAATCTCATTTGATCAATCATCTATCCATGTGCTAAAAAGAATTGATTTTTTGTTTAACACAAAGAAAATCAGATGATTATTCTAAATAAAAATATATATAGTTTTTTTTTATTCCTAATCTGAGGCGATATACAGTATGATATATATAGTTAATTCATTATAACAAAATAAAATATACCATATATGGTTATACCCGACAATCACGTGACAAAACCGTGCTTCCTAAACTTTTCATTCTGGAATTATTTTCATAAATTTTTAAAATAATCCTTATATATATATAAAGTTTTAAGATTTTAAAGTTCATGTTTTAAAAAAATTGAAACTAATGTGAGTAACATCTGATTGGTTGAAAATGGTAAATCATAAGATTTTGAAACAAATAGAACAAAAAAGAAATATTTGATACTATGATTTATTAAAAGCATTATTTCTTATATAAAATTATTTTATATATTAATTCAATAGGCATTAAAATTGTGATCTTTATAAAAGATATAATAGCATAACAGTTATCTAATTAATATTATAATAATTACTAAAAGTTATAAGAAAAAGTATAAAAAATATTTGATTTTAAACAAAATAATTTAATAATCTTTTATTATAATATTTGATGTTTTTTTTTATAGGTTATTATGAAGATTTTATTTTTAATTGCTTTGATAATTATTTTTTTTAAATAGATAATTACAGTTAATTTAATAGTTTTATAAATAATAAATTAATATAAATATTTAACTATTTAAATAATTTAAAAATATATATATAATATAAAATTTAATAGATTTTCTATAGTATTTTATTTATTAAAAATAAATATTATTTTAGTGTTTTATATTTTAACTTTTTTTTTTATTTTTTACAATTTTAAAAATAACAACTTATAATAATAATAATTTTTTTTAAAACTAAATTACAATATACAATATATATATTTTTTAGCTTGTTATTATGGTATGACCTGTGAATCTATCTATAAAGATCTTGTTCTTAATATGATATAATTATCTTATATTAATATTTTAAAAAAAATAAGTTGGTTATTAGTGACGGTTAATGGGTAAGAAAAAACAGCCCTCTGTATAGTCCACACCTAGGTATGAACCTACTCTCGAGGTATAAGTTGGTATCTGGGTTAGAATAAGGGCAGGGTCGTCAGTTAATTAGTGATAGCTTAGACTATTCATATAATGGTAACTTGTAAATCATGTGATTTATGAAATAAAATCCACATATGTATCGCATCTTAGCTCTTAAAAAAAAAAAATAAATAAATAAATTGATTATGATTTTTTATATAAATAGAAGTTAAAGATTAAGATAAAAAAATAACTTTATAATAAATTTTCTCAAATATATGAAAATAGTAATAGAGTTGAAATTCATATAAAAGTATTTATCCAAATTCATATTTTTGATTCTACTATATATCTCAAATAGAATCAGAACTTAGCTAATATAAAGCTTTATATATAAAATCTTTTGCTTACTGGATTTTTATTTTAAATATACTTTTTTTTTTTTTTTTTAAAGTAGATAAATATTATCTTTTTATTATCATAAAAATTTTAAAATAATTTTACATTGTGAAAGTGACATCTCTCACGTGACCAATTAATTAGTGAGTTTAATGCTAGCTTGCCTATAGAAACTATCTAAGTGACATGGAAAATAAATATTAAAACCGATGTATATCCTAAATAGTGCCGAGCAGCTATAAATACCTACTCAGGTTTATATGTAAGATTATAAAAAATTAAAAAATGAAAAATGAAAAATGAAAATACTAAACAAAAAAATAAGTACAGCAACACTAGTTGTGAAACTATGGATGCTTTGGATGAAGCGTGCCATGCTGGTAGTTCCATTTAACTGAAGTACTGTTGCACTTCCAAAAATGACCAGGCTACTGTCCAAAGTGTACAATAGTGTTGATAATATATTTTTTTGATAGATGGTTGGTCATAGTGATGGTATTGTTGTTGTAGTGATATTATTTGTAATTAGTTTGTTTGTTGGTGGTATGATTTTGTTTTAATTGTTGTCGCTATAAAAGGTTTTGTTTACATCGATCAGAGTGTAGTGTTTTGAATATATGGATTTGTTTAAAAAATTGATAGTGTTTGATTGGTTGAGTTTGGAATATTAATCAATTGACAGGAGTAAACTAATTGTGGTTTTTTGATAAAAAATTTTTTAAGTAAAATTTTTGGATTTTTGGTAACGTAACAGAATATGTTGAGTGATGGTGAGAAGTAAATATTGAATATATTGTTGGTGCTCTAAGTCAATAATACAGTATAAACAATTTTGATGTGAAGTTTGATTTTTTGTGATGAAAAGAAGTCCTCCAAGCAGAAAATATAGTTATTTAAAAAGATTTGTATATTATTAAAAAAAGAAAATGGAAAGAACCCCAAGGAAGATTTATAAAGAAGTAACTGTTATGGGCTTTTTCTTATGCAATTCAAAGAAGAAGCAAGATCTTCAAACTTGCTTTTCTCTGGCTAGAGGTCCTATCCCGATGCACCAGTATACTTCTTTAATTTCCTTGAGGCTCTTGTAGTGAAGAAAAAGAAAGTGTGAAGGACTTTTGGATATTAAAAAGCGAAAAAAATATTTGTTTCTTTAATTTTGAAGAAAAATTACTATAAAAGGAAATTTGTAAGAAAAAATTTGTGTATGGGAAAGAGTTTTTTTTTCAGATATACTTTATTCTTACTTAGTAGATTTTAGTATATTAGATAGTAATTATAAAAGAATTATTTGACTGATTACAAAATACATTTCAAATTTTCAATTAAAGTACTGTTATATAACCTTTTCTTAATTGAATACTCTAAAGTTAAGAAGTAAAGTTTTTAATAAGAGGTCTATACTTCTTGATAAAGCTCTTTTTAGTTAAGTTTAGATAAATATATCAGGTTGAAATAATATCATTACTATATCAGAGGATTGATAAAATAGTATTGGTGGTAAAGAAAGAGAAACCTACAGAGGGTTGCCAAAAGTTTATGAACACTTTTTAAAAATTTAAAAAAAATTTTTTTATAATAATATATTTATATATCAATCATAAATCTGACTTTTATTAT